GTCGTACCTGGTCTCTGAGTGTGTCCCTCCTTGCCCCAAAGAGAGGTGCTTCCCAGAGGCACTATTCACCTGGGGAGCTGGTAGGCAGGGCTGCTGCAACAAACAGCTGTGCACACTGGAGAGACCTGTCAGGAGTAAGCATGGACCAATGGTATCAAATAGTATGGGATACAGCCTTATTAGAAAAACTAACCAATAAGGATTGTGTTGATGAACACTTTTATTGTGTAAATAATGTTGTCTTTTCTTTTCTTCTTTTGATTTTTTATTTCGTACCTTTATTATTTCTTTATTTTTTTCCCCTTTTCCTTTTTTTATTACTTTATAAATTTTCTATTTACTACCTGATTTTCTTTTTCTTCATATGTAAAGAGATAGCACATAATGTTTGTATAGATGTGTAAATTTTTAATCAATAAAGAATAATATTAAAAGAAAGAAAAACTAACCAATAAACTAAAACTGACACGGGGACAAATAGACGAAGACGCCTTCACCCCGGTATGGCTCCCCTTTATCACATACACAGCCCAACAAGACAATGGCAAGAACCCGCCAACAGCATACGAATCAGTCTGGCTAACCTGACTCAAAAACACCCACCCAATCCACTCACAGATTTACCACAAACAACCACACCCTAGGCCAACCCGAACCTCTCTCACCACCAAAGAAATACAACAAGCAAATAGTAAGAGAACCCACACAAGTGACACAAAACCCCACACATACACTAAGTAGAATAGAAGCTTTGCCACCCCACCCCACCCTCCACCTCTTTCCCCCTTTTCTTCCTAATGTTACACTAACGTAAACTGATCTGTAGAAAATGTAACTTGGAAAAAGAGACATTGCAGATACTTTGTAAACCAAGAAATCTCTAATAAAAAATATGTTTAAAAAACAAAAAGAAAACAACAAAGAGCTGTGCAAGCCTTTGGGAGGCAGAGACATGAGAGGGCATCAGAGGAGCGAGAGAAGGAAAGAGAGGCAGAGGCCAGTGTTGCTTGCAGCACCCTTGACCATCATTCAAGGCACCCCAGGGTGCCACGGCACACTGGTTGATAACCACTGCTTTTATTCCATCCCCAACACAAGAATCTCTGTGCAGAGGATACTTGAATTGATAAATAAATAAATTTTGTAATATGCAATACATATCAAACTTAACTGGACAAATTATTGTCGTTCGATGTTGTTCCTGTATTTATATGAAAATCAGTAAAACAAATTTGGTAAAAAGAAAAAAAAATGGCTAAAAAGAAAAAGAAAAATGTAGCAAAGGTGGTACGGTTCCCAGGCCACTTTACTGCACAGTACAGTCCAATATGTTGTTGTTGTTTAGTCGTTTAGTCATGTCCGACTCTCTGTGACCCCATGGACCAGAGCACGCCAGGCACTCCTGTCTTCCACTGCCTCCTGCAGTTTGGTCAAACTCATGCTGGTAGCTTCGAGAACACTATCCAAACATCTTGTCCTCTGTCGTCCCCTTCTCCTTGTGCCCTCCATCTTTCCCAACATCAGGGTCTTTTCCAGGGAGTCTTCTCTTCTCATGAGATGACTAAAATATCAGAGCCTCAGCTTCAGGATCTGTCCTTCCAGTGAGCACTCAGTGCTGATTTCCTTCAGAATGGAGAGGTTTGATCTTCTTGCAGTCCATGGGACTCTCAAGAGTCTCCTCCAGCACCATAATTCAAAAGCATCAATTATTCAGCGATCAGCCTTCTTTATGGTCCAGCTCTCACTTCCATACATCATTACTGGGAAAACCATAGGTTTAACTATACGGACCTTTGTTGGTTTAAAACAAGAGAAGGTGTCTCTTCTGGGAATGCTGGCAAACATAAATATTCCCTCAACAAAAATGTCTCCAGCAGTGCTTTTTTTTTCTTCCTTAAAAAAAGTTTAGGGGTACTCTAATTTTCCTACTCATATTGAAATAATGCCCCTCAACAAGGCCAAACTTAGATTCACAAAATGTTTCGGGGTATGCGTACCCCTGCGTCCCCCCCAAAAAAAATCCCCACTGGTCTCCAGTGAAAAAAAGGCTGGCCTCCCCATGGGACACAGACATACAGAATATACTGCCTGGGGGGCGGGGAGAAAGGCTTTTACTTTGCAATAGCCCTGAAGCACTTCCTTTAGATTACATGAGGCAACCGGTAGGGTAGGAAAGAGGAAGAGGGAAATCCCTGTACTACGCACAAAAGTGGCTCTTCAGTTAATGCTGAATAAATTCCAAGGAGGCAGCCATGTTCATCTCCACACACCCCACCGCCCCCCGGAACGTGGCGGCTCCTTAAAAGTGATATTTACTGTGATGGAACCTTTTTTTGGCCAGAATCTACCCCGTTATGGCACCATGTTCATGCTACAATTAATGGGTTTGGTTTTTCAATGTGCCATTGGGCTGTTTTTCATAAAGGTAAAGGTAAAGGGGCCCCTGACCATTAGGTCCAGTCGTGACCGACTCTGGGGTTGCGGCGCTCATCTCGCTTTATTGGCCGAGGGAGCCAGCATACAGCTTCCAGGTCATGTGGCCAGCAAGACTAAGCCGCTTCTGGTGAACCAGAGTGGCACACGGCGCTGTTTACCTTCCCGCCGGAGCGTTACCTACCGTATTTTTCGCTCTATAAGACGCACCAGACCACAAGACACACCTAGTTTTTGGAGGAGGAAAACAAGAAAAAAAAAATCTGAATCTCAGAAGCCAGAACAGCAAGAGGGATCGCTATGCAGTGAAAGCAGCAATTCCTCTTGCTGTTCTGGCTTCTGGGATAGCTGCGCAGCCAGCATTCGCTCCATAAGACGCAAACACATTTCCCCTTATGTTTTAGGAGGGAAAAAGTGAGTCTTATAGAGCAAAAAATACGGTATTTATCTACTTGCACTTTGACGTGCTTTCGAACTGCTAGGTTGGCAGGAGCAGGGACCAAGCAACGAGAGCTCACCCCATCACGGAGATTGAAACCAACCTTCTGATCAGCAAGCCATAGGCTCTGTGGTTTAAACCACAGTGCCACCCGCGTCCCTGGAACAATAATAAGCATTCGTAAATCCCTGGAGTTGGAAGGGACCGCGAGGGTCATCTAGTCCAACCCCTTGTAGTGCAGGAATCTTTCGCCCAACGTGGGGCTCGAAAACACAACCCTAAGATTAAGAGTCTCATGCTCTGCCAACTGAGCTGTAATAGGAAGCACCTGCCAAACAACAATAATAAGAAGCACCTGCCCAGGCTAAAAGTGTGTGCATTTGTGAGAGAGAGAAAAATGGAAGAATAATATTTATAAATATATATATAATTTATTTATTTATTTATTTATTTATTTTCCATTTAATAATATACAGTGGTGCCTCGCAAGATGAAATTAATTCGTTCCGCAAGTTTTTTCTTCTTGCGAGTTTTTCGTCTTGCGAAGCACGGTTTCCCATAGGAATGCATTGAAAATCAATTAATGTGTTCCTAGGGAAACCGCTTGCCAGGCTGGCGGTGCGGAGAAGGGCTTTTCTCCCCACCGCAAGCCTTCAGGACAGGTACGGGAACAGAGGGGAAGGCGCGCAGCGCTTTCCCTCTGTTCCCGGGGCTTGCGTGGGAGGAGGGTTTTTCCTCCCCACCGCCAACATTCAGAACAGCATTCTGAATGTTGGCGGTGGGAAGGAAAACCCTCCTCCCACCCCAAGTCTTCAGGAAAGCCATCCGAAGCCGGGCGGCGGGAGAAGGCGTTCCCGCCCCGCCGCCCGGCATCGGAGCTTCGTTCCGATGGCGGGCGGCGGGAGGAGGTCCGAGGACAGTGGGGAAGACGCGCTGCGCTTCCCCGCTGTCCCGGAGATTTCCCTATGGGCTTTCGTCTTGCGAAGCAAGCCCATAGGGAAATTCGTTTTGCGAAGCGACTCCAAAACGGAAAACCCTTTCGTCTAGCTGGTTTTCCGTCTTGCGAGGCGTTCGTCTTGCGGGGCACCACTGTACATTCACATCATCATTATCCACTTTACATTATCCTGCACAAACCTTGGGCATGATAGCTTGTGCAAGTCCCATTATGTGAGGCACAACTCACAGAGGTTTCGTGAAGCTGAGGCTCCAGTACTTTGGCCACCTCATGAGAAGAGAAGACTCCCTGGAGAAGACACTGATGCTGGGAAAGATGGAGGGCACAAGGAGAAGGGGGAGACAGAGGACGAGATGGTTGGATAGTGTTTTCGAGGTTACCAGCATGAGTTTGACCAAACTGCGGGAGGCAGTGGAGGACAGGGGTGCCTGGCGTGCTCTGGTCCATGGGGTCACGAAGAGTCGGACACAACTAAATGACTAAACAACAAAAATATATATATTCCATTTAATAATATACATTCACATCACTATTATCCACTTTACCTCCCTGGCTCTTTAGAGCCTATCGACCCCCCCCCCAAAATTAACCTTTAGATCATTGCATTTTATACATTTTCCAATTCCAATTACACTCAATACAAAACAACTCAAAATTTAAATAAACGTAGAAAGGTAGAAAACTTCTCCTTTCAAGTCTTCAGATCACCCTGCTAGCCATGTTCATTGCTTGCGATAATCTTTTAAATATCATATAAATTTACTGCTAGCGCTGTTAATTGCTTGCAATAATCTTTTAGAGGTCGTAGAAATTTACTCCAGTCCTTTTGCAACGCTTGACCATGCTGGCTTCGGATTTTTCCTGCAAAGCTTCGCCCGTTCTGCAAATGGAAGAATAACAGAATCACAGAATTGCAGAGTTGGAAGGGACCCCCGGGGTCATCTAGACCAACCCCCTAAGGAAAAAAAAGCTGCAAATTCCTCCACGGCCCCAACCGGCCTGCCTTCCAGCGCGACCCCTCGCCCGTTGCCACAGAGGGACTCCAATTCCCAAGGGGGAAAAAATACTGTAAAAATCCTCCTGGAAGCTGCTTCGAAAGCCCTGTGAGAGGGAGCTCTAAGGCGGCCGGAGGTTAGCTCTCCCGAGCCGAGGCGGCGCGGCTCCTCCTCCTCCGGCTGGCCGGGGCCCCCGTGACGCTTCCCGGCGGCGAGAGCGCACCAGGGCTGGCAAGGGAATGGGATCCGGCTGGAGGAGGAGGAGGAGAGAGAAGGAGGTGGGGACGGGCGGGAGAGAGAGAGGGAGGCGGCGCCCAGGCGACCGAGTCACGGCTTTAAATCTTGGACGGGCGAAGCGAGGAAGCTCCCAGCGCTTGGAGGCTGCCGGGTCTCCTCTCTCTCCCCGTCGCCTCCGCCTCTCTCCCGCGCGCTCGCTTCTTCCCGCCGCCTCGGAGGAGCGCTTCTTCGGAGGGGCTGCCTCGCTGGCTCGCCCCCTGACGTGAGGCGAGGCGAGCGGGCAGGGGGCACGGCGCGCCCGCCTTCCAGGGAGCCGAGACCCACGCGCTGCCTTTCTCCTTCCTGGAGGGGACGGACCCACGGACTGACAAGTTGAGGCGACTTTGTCTGTCTTTCCTTCCCTCCCTTCCCTTCTCTCGCCCTCCGTCCGCCGCCGGGCTGCGCAGGGTGGCGCTGCCGGAGCTTCTGGGGCTGCGCCGAAGCCGCTCGCCGCTCTCCGGCGTGTGAGGAGGGAAGGACTCCGGAGGAGGAGGAGGAGGACGCGGGGCGCGCGCAGCTCCCGGCTCGCCCCGAAGGCTTCTGCTGCTGCTGCTGCTGCTGCTCCGGCAGCCCCGACCGGCCGCCGCGATGGAGGAGAGACGCAAAGGAGACCCCCGGAGGTAAGGGAGGGGGTGGGCCAAGGAGGGCGGGTCGCGGGGGCGGCCGGCGAAGGAGTTCTCCTCTCGTTCCCGATCGCTTTCCTTCCCGCAAACAGCTCACCTGCTCAGTGGCGTAGCGTGGGTTGTCAGCACCCGGGGCAAGGCAAGTAATTTGCGCCCCCTAACCCGTGGATTTGCGCCCCCTAACCTGTGGATTTGCGCCCCCTAACCTGTGGATTTGCCCTAACCCCAGATGTTGCGCCCTGTGTGGCCGGCCCCCCCTGCACCTCCCACGCTACGCCACTGCACCTGCTCCCACCTGACGCTTTTCTTCTTGCGTTCTCACAACCGCCCCGCCAGGTAGGCTAAGGCTGGGAGCGAGATTCGTGGATGGAAGGGAGGCGATTTGGAAGCAGGCTTCCCCCAAATCCATTCTAAGGACTACATGAAAATAGTTTGGGGTAGTGCTTTTTTCCTCTTAAGGTGCTGGTAGACACCATGAAGTTGTTGTAGTAAGTGCCACACTTTTAACAATTTTTTTTTGGGGGGGGGAGAAGGTGCCGGTACTGCATACTCTTGAGACCCCCCCAGAAAAAAGTACTTTTTTTCGGACAGGACTTCTTCCCAGTTTGCTAGACTTGGAGAAGAAAAGTATTTTTAAAAAATATTTCCTTGTGCTTATTTATTTATAGCCTGGATTAAAATAAAGCAAAGCTTTTTGCTCGGGTCTGCTGACAAGGTTTAAATAATTGACAGGCACAAAGTGGGGATAAGACCGCAGACAATTTTTGTGTGTGTGTGAGGGTAGAATGATATTGGTGGTGGTGGAAATGGGAACATAGGAAGGACTGTAAAAATGTATGCTGCAGAGCATGTGCAAAGTGCCCCCCCATGTCACATCTAACTTCCATATATTGGGAAGTGACCGCAATGGGGGTAGGTGATTAAAAGTGCAGGATTTAGAGGTGGGGGGGGTTCTTGTTTGGGCAGGAGGGGGCGATGGTTTAAGTTCTGACATACGGTTATGGAAGGGGTGTTGTGTGTTCAGACTTGCCCAAAGTTGTGCATATTGACCCGCTCTTCTTGCTTACAATCAGGTGAGATCATGATTACTTAGTTGAGAAAGGCAAGCACTTTGCACATGCTCCGACGAACTCTGTGAGGCTGAACCTGGGCATGGAAAGCCATGTATGCACATAGCTAAGGTTTGGTGAGTTCTGGCTAAAATGAAACTCTGCAGGGAGCCAAACCTGACCCAGGGAATTTTGGGGGTTGCAGGAAGAAGAGGAGAAAGGGCAATATTTGAGAGGTCTGGGCAAAGTAGTAGGAATCAGAGAATCTCAGGAGTTGTTTAGGGACTGCATAAAGGTCTGATGGATGGACTGCAAGGTAATTTGGCAGAGAGGTGAAAAGGATAATGGAGAATGTCAGCACTGGTTGTCCAAAGAGAGCAGCAGGGTTGGGGATATAAGATGTAGGGTTACCAAAGAGAGGCTAGGCGTTTGGGGGTGTGGGGCTGGTGGGGAAAGATTGGCAAGTGAAGTAGTTTGGAAAGCAATACTGGAGTTTGGGTTTCAAGGGCTGCTTGCTTGGAGGCAAGAGAGAGTGAGTGAGTTGCTGGATATGCAAGGATATTTTGCCCAGAGGGATATGTTTAGGGTGAGCTAGACAATCAGGATTGGCTGAGACAGGGAAAGGGAATTATTTCTCGCTGTTGTGGGAAGGAAGCTGGGAGATATAATTTGCATAGTGGAAGAGAGTGATAGAGTAGCATTGAGGTTTATATCAAGGCAACCAATGGGGATCTGTGGGAGGATTAGAGTTTTTTTCTGCTTCAGGTGGCCAGCAGATGGAGTGTGTTTTTGATAGAGGTCTCTTGTGATACAGGAACACTAGATGTGGGAAATAGTAGGGGTCAGGTCAGAGGGACTGCAAAGGGAGTCAACTATCGGTGTTGGAATCTGAGCACAGCTGGGATGGAGCAGAGGCCTTTGGGGCAGCGAAGGAATGGGGCATATTTATTTTATAGCCCCATCGCTTACTGTCTCATAAGCAAAATGGTTTTCCGCCACAGAATTTTCCGCCACAGAATTAAAAATCTAAACTAGCAAGTTGTGGAGGTCGGGGAGCACAGATATTATTAATAAGCCAAGGGAATATTTGGAGATGAGGTTTTGGGGTTGAAAGCATTCAGTTTATAAGCCCAGGTAGACCAGGGACTGAAAGTTGAGGACCAAGTTACATGTTTCAAAGAGTTGTGTGTCGCTTTGCCTGTGCAATTTTTTTATTTAAAAAACAAACAAACATGAAAAGCAGACTCTGGAGACTGCTGTCTTGAATGGGACAGTAGCAGGCAGGAGCAGCCATTTAAATATTTTCCCTCCTGCCATTTACTCCTTCAAAATCACTTCTCCCAGCTGCTTTTTTCCATGGCGCGGGAAGAAAGTTGAGGGCCTGGGTCTTTTTCATTTGTAGGGGAAAATCCACTTATGGAGTGTGCACAGAAATGGCTTAAGGGGTGGGGGGAAGGCTAAACAACCTTCCCACCAAGGTTGTAGCTGGGTCCGCATTGCATGATTCAGAACACACAACTGTGCGTAACCCATGGTTTTGACTTGGCTATGGTTTGGGGAGATCAATGGCAAGTTGGATGGAGTTGTGTTACTCGCATGTGGAACAGCTGAGGAAGGAGGCAGTGGGAAGCGATGAGGGAGGAAAATTGGGCTTGGAGGTTTTTGCGTTGTGAGATGAGGATATATATTTGAGGCTTTGGGACGAGGCACATTAAGAGCTGGTAGCGACTTAGCTATCGACCGGCGTACTTATTTGCCAGAACTACCACCATCTATTGCTGCTAGTAGAGCCTTGTAAATCAAGTCTGCAAACATAACTAGCTTGTAATTCCACCCACCCCCTAGCCTGCTGGTGATAGGCATACAAAATGAAGAAAATAAAGCAGTTTTATACTGCTTTATTTCCTCTGCCAGTCCGATCATTCGCCTGCACGCACAATTCATTCTCTCCTGTTTCAACCAAGCTAATGCTTATTTTAAAGGCTCCACTCAGCAAAAAGCATGGATAAAATGTATTTCTGGAACTCTGCCCTGCCTGTAGTAATTACCTTCTTACCTGCCCATTTCCTCCAGTTTTCACCACTGTGGCAAATAAGGGTTTCTCTTGGGAATTTGCAAGGTTTGGGGTTAAACAGAGGAAAGAGCAGAAGGGTTGGACACACGTTTGTGGTCTGTAAGCGCCAGGCACCAAGCTCAGTCCCTCCTGAAGGGACAGAAGTGTGCTGTGTTGACACTGGTATTGGCTGGGCAAAGAAATGGGGGGGGGGCAATAGGTCAGGCCTTAGTGCTAGGCAAGAGAGTTGCCTTGGGAGGTACTGTAATTCCCCACACAATCTCCACATTTTATGTCAATTGTTTTGCATATTTTTGCAAAAATGCGGGGTGCGACCATTATGTGAAGCAAAAAATTATTATTACTAAACAGTCCTTGCATGTTAACGTATCACTGTACAGTTTAGCTGTCACGGGAAGATGCAAGTCTTGCCATATCACGTGCCTCACCTATGACAGCTTTGCCTGCCTGCCCGCTCCCTTTGTGCCTACGGAAATGCGGTATACTGGCAATGCACAAGAGATAAATGCGTATCCATAGGCTACTGGTGAATACATTGCTGCTCCATTTAGGTAGTGAGACGAACAGAATTATACCAGCGCGATTCTGCGATGAAAGGTAATTAACCCAATTTTGGGACTGAAAAAACAGGGTGTGACGATTATGCGGTGGCAATGGTTATGTGGTGAAATACAATACTGTGTGAATCTTGCCCATGCATCTGGTGGAGAAGTGTGTAGGAGAAAAAAGACATCTTTCACTGTGTCATTTCTGCTGCTCTGAACCAGCCTTCTCCAACCTTCTTCAGATGTTTGGGACTTTCAGTTTCCATCACCCCCAGACAGCTCCAGGTGTAGGGAAAAGGCGACACTCTTTTTTGTACCAGTGTTTAATTGCAGCCTGATCTGTCAAGTAAGAAAGGTGATGATGATCTTGACAAGGGCTGATCTCACTCTTAACGCAAAACAACTGTTCTCCAGTTCTGATTTTTAAAGTGCATCCTAGTAACCTTGGTGGGATGAGAAACAGTGAGGTTTTCATGGCCCACTTCTAGAAATAACTCATGCAAACCAGACACTCCCTCATGTAATACCTGTCTGCTAGAAAGCAATAGCTAGTATATATTTGTTTGTTCAGAGGCTTGATTGTGCAGAAATAGCACAATCCTTCATCGTGTGCTTCCTTGTGAGAGAGGTTTGGAAGGTAGCATGGAGACAGGGCCTTTTCGATTGTGGCCCCTCTTGTGCATGTGAAATGCTCCCTCAAGTGACGTCTGTCTGGTGCTGACACTAACATCTTATTGGTGCACGGTTAGGACATTCCTTTTCTCCTGGGCGTATGGTGATGTTTGATCCAACCGAGTCAAAAGCTCTACTCTGGATTGCTGATAAGTCATTCCCTGCTTGCTCCCCTTGGCAAGGCTTTATGTATTGATTCAGTTGTTTACATTTTTGATAGATGTTGCTTTTAAACTTGACTGTTAAGTGCCTAGAGGCCAACACAATAACAATAAATAATAAAACAGATACGCCTCTCAACTCGTTTTTCTTTCGTATGGGTTTTGCTTCTCCCCTTTCACTCAGTTTCCACCAACTTAATGATCTGCAAAAGTTTTGGACTAATTCACATCATCAGCCCCAGCCTGAGTCTCAGGGCCTGTGCATCTATAGAAAGAGCATTTTCCCCCCCCAGTGTGCATATTTTGCCAGTTTGGATGGCTGTAGAAACCATTGCATTCAATTTGTGTGTGTGTGTGTATCCTCCTGGATCTGAAACACAAAATTCGCATGTTTTCCCTGCACTCTTCAAAATGTTGAGCCTTCTTTCAGTTCAGGTGGCTTAGTCTTGTTGAAAGGTGGTATGGAACCTACACCTGCTCCTCTCTTCACCTGCTT